ACTATATTCGCATTGGTGCAGCAATCAGTGAGAAGTTTCTGACAAACTTCCTATAATAACTAGGTAGACCAAGAAAAAATCATAGTTCAATAATAGACTTAGGTTGTGGTCAATCTCGTATTGCTGATATCTCTTTCTCTTCCGGCCTTAGGCCTTCTTCGTTTACTATGTGTCCTAGGTATAACACATCGGACTTAGCAAACTCAGACTTCTTTGAGTTGATCTTAAAGTTGCCCTCACGCAACTTCCCTAGCACCAGACGAAGGTGCTTCTCATGATCCTTTAGTGTTTTACTATACACTAGAATCTCATCGAGATAGACAATGACGAACTTATCCAACCATTGACGAATCAAGTCATTCATTGACCTTTGAAAAGTGGCAGGGACATTCGTTAATCCGAAGGGCATTACCACTAACTCATAGTGACCATACCTGGTCCGGAAAGCGGTCTTATGCTGATCGGAGGGTTCCACCTCGATCTGGTGATACCCAGATTTCAAGTCGATCTTGCTAAAGTACCTGCATCCCTATAACTGGTCAAGTAAGTCGTCAATGCGAGGAAGCAGTTCAACATTCTTAACAGTGACAACATTCAGCCCTCTGTAGTCTATACAGAGACGTAACTCACCTTCCTTCTTAGGTACAAACAAGACAGGAGTATCATAAGGAGAGGAGCTAGGGCGAATCCATCTTTTTTCTGTTAAGTCTTGCAGTTGTTTTCTTAATTCTTCAAGTTCCCTAGCAGATATTCGGTAGATAGGGCCCTTGGGAATCTTACTACCATGAATATTTTTATGGTGTGCTATTGCACACTCAGTTATTCCTGTTGGTTCAGTAAGTAATTCTTTATACTCGTTAAGAGTTTTTCAATCGAAAGAGAATAGGAAGTAGAAGACTCACTTGCTTTCTTTACTAACACCATTATTACTTCCTGTTCCAACCTTTTCTTTGAAATCATCGATCGAAATGTTGTACTCATACAACAGAAAGACAGACTAGAGTCAGAGACAGACTAGAGTCAGAGCCAGACTTATGGTACAACTTCAGTAGGAGCAGATGCTACTCCTACTGGCGGCTCACTTTTGGGTTACGGATAAGTGGGCACAATGCAATCACATGCCTTGTGGTACCACACTTCAGACATTGTGCATTATCCATTCTTTCCTGCCACGTTTCCTGTGATAGACCTATCTTTTCCCATGGCCTCCCGACCACAATCCTTGGATGCTCTGGGAACGAGCGTGGCTTCTTCTTCTTTACTGACGGTCGTGGTCCTCCCTTGTTGACCACGACAACAGTGACTCCCCCCTTCCCGGAATCACTGCTGCTCGCCACACCCTCGACCTCCAATGGCCACTTCTCCATAGTATCCTCGTCAAAGACGACGAGGGTGTGGTCCTGGCGCTTTTGGCGCCAAAGTATCCGCTTTCTTGCACCTGCACCACCACCAAACTTCACAACAGACGCATACGAATTCTTAACCTGAGAAGTCATTTGCTCTCGTTGGAGAGCAAGATCCCGAAACTGCCTGTAATTATACTTGCCTGACTTAAACTCTACCACAAGTTGTCCACGGATGGGCTCGGGCAGAGCACGAGAATAGATGTACAAGACTTGGTTGTCTTGTAGGTTCAATCCAGGAACCTGCAGCGACCGGTCAACTTCCTGAGACAAAGCTTCTATCGAGGTCCAATGTTTTTGACCGATGGTAATGAGCTGGTCAAAGGCCTTGTCGGCCATTGTTTTATCCAGGAAGCGTTCCTTGATCTTGCCAAGGAACTGCTTCAGATTCAAGGTTGCAGCCCACTCCCCAATGTCATCGAACCCTGTTGCGTTGGCTTCAGCCAATACCCATTCCTTAGCTTCCCCCCGAGACAAGAGGTAGAGAAAGCAACCTGAGACTCGGGTTCAACAAGGGCCGTACTGTAGTAGGTCTGAATTTCGGCAATCCAAAGCAACAAATTTTCATCTTTCTTGTTGCAGAACATGTAGTGCAATTTCATCTTTACCTTTTCTTTCTTCTTCGGTTTCTTAGACTGTGTGGTGTGGTCCTTCTTCCCGTTTGGAGACTTCGGCGGACTCGAAGGTTCTCCTTTCTTCTCTTCCAGTTTCTGAGTCTCTTCATTAAGAGACTTCATGACATCTCCTAATAATTTCTTTGGTTTTTCTTCGTTTTCAATTTTGACTTCCTCAACCATCTGGTGTTTTCCTTTGACCAGATTTGTGATTGTCCGTAGTCCTGCGGCCACATCATCAATCTGTGCCTGCATCTGTTCACCATATTGAAATCAATTTTCATTTCAAGGTGGGCAAGGTAAGTCACAAGCTGAGCCAAAGAAATTTTCTGCTCTTCCCCTTCGGTCTTGACAACAGTTTGTCTGATTTCTTTGATTTTTTGTTCTTCCCGTTCACTCTTTTTCTTCCTCAATTCTTCTTTCTTTTTCTTCTCCTTCTCCAGTGCTTTTTCTAACTGTCTGATATATTTATCCACAGTTTCTTCAGACACAGTTATTTCTTTCTCTTCTTTCTGGTCTACAATCTTCCTAAGTTGCTCAATGACATACTCATCAAATGCCTGTCGACACTTGCTTAGTACATCCTGAATTTGTATGATGTCGGTGCCCAATTTAGCCTGTTCGATAGCAGCTCGTGTTGCCTTCAAATCAAACTTTTCTCGCACATATGCCTCGACTTCGGCACCTGTGCCACGAAAGTCAGAAATCAATTCGTCCAAACGGGCATTCAAATCCTTCTTCCGCTCGTCCACTTGATGTCTGCTTCGAAGGTCAGGGGTCAATAGCGAAAATGAGTGACACTGGATAGAAGAGAAAGGGAATAAAATGAGTAAGCACCGACAATTTTAGGGAATTCCAGAGAAAAGACATCGTGACGTGCGTCTGCCGCACAATCAATAAACAATAATAAATTCCACGGCCGCACTATCCTACAACAGAAAGGATTTCCATGACCAAAGGAGAAAATAATTACAACTATTTCCACTTTTAACTTTTGTTTTTTCTTTGTCTGTCTGTGTGATGACGTTTTATTCGAGAGTATACAGGTACCATGTCAGGCCCGTGTGATCAGATACAACACACAAGTAAGTACGCTTAACAACACAACACAGCAAACGACAAGGTAAGTATGCCAACATCAACAACAACTGAGCTGGACAGGGAGGTGAGGCGGGAGGAGGTGGACAGGAACAGCCCAATGTATCCCGGAACTATCGGCTCAGGCTTCGGGACTGGATGGTGGTTGCCCCTGACACCCCCCTAAGGCCGGCGGTGGAGTTCACCGACCCTTTCCCCTCCCACCCACTGTCCCTAGTGGAATTTCCCCAATAGGGCCCCGGGATGTACAGGTGGCCTCCCCGGATGTCCTTCCGAAGGGACACTGGACCCGGTTTTCAGCAGAGGTAATTCTAAGAGATGTTTTTGCAAAACGAAAAGAGGATGGAAATTTCCCAGCCTGTAGGGGGAAGGAGAAGGTCTCAGATAGGGACAGGAACAGGGAAGGGTTAGAGGAGGGGAGGGTCCAACTGGTGTCCCCCAGTGGCTCCTCTTGTCTTCCAAACCCCTCCCTTAGGTACACAGGTGGGCAGACAGGTTCTCTGGGTATGATAATTGGCAGACAGCCCCCGGAAGTGGTATGGGGTATGGGACTCCAGCCTTTGTTTCTGATTGCAAAATGCCTGTTCTCAGAAGTACCCTCCTCAGTCAATCCCCTGGCATCCAGGGTAATTACTGCTGGCAGGGGAAGTTTTCCCAAAGGTTCCTAATATAGTAATATGTTGTATATTTCATATGAGACGCTGGGCCCGGTTCCCAGCACGTGCTGCTCCCCATAAATAGATCGGAGCCTATTTAAACTAAGTAACAATAATAATAATAACAAAAAAAAAACAAAAGAGGAAGAAGATCGGCCTGAGCGTTTGTAGGGTCCTCATTGGCATTGCGACTTTAAGATCAATCTTTGTCGTGGCTAGTGGCTACGGAAAGGGGAAAGAAAAGGGGGAGGATTAATCTTAAACCGCCAGTACACAGCCCTGGCCTTCCAGAAAAAGCAACTCGTCGCCACCGCACTGTAGCACCACAATTTCCTGGGCCGGGCTGCCATTGATAAAATTAATCAATGGCCTCAGTTGCGTTTTGCACCCCCGAAAGTCGCGGTGAGGGGCGCGTGGATTAATCTTAAGCCGCCAGTACACGGCCCCAGCCTTCCGGAAAAAGCAACTCGCCGCCACCGCACTGTAGCACCACAACTTTCCCGGCCAGGCCATTATTGATAAAATCCATCAACGGCCTCAATTCTGTTTCACGCCTCCGAAAGTCGCGGCAAAAGTCGCAGTGAGGGGCACGTGGCCGATGTATCGCCGTGTACTGGTGGTCTAAAGCACCAGTACATGCCAGCTATCGGCTATGGGCCCCTTTCGGAGGCCGCCCACCGCCGATTCGTTCTGTCTACGACGCTCGCCCTCCTAGAGGCTCAAAACAGATTCTCCAGTTGCCTGGGGCCATGTACTGGTGGTTTAGACGAAAACAAGACAAAAAAAAAAAAAAAAAACCTTTGAAAAAGTGTTGGCGTGAGGTTTTGAGTACTGAAGGGGCAACAAAAACAATAAATTGCAGTTTTGTCAAGGCACGAGTTTGGAATGCACAAAAAAGCAAAAATAGCATTTTCTTTTTTGCCTTTTTGAGCTTACACCCTCCTTGTGCCATGGTCCACCCTTGCCCTTACCGCATCCGCACCCTCTGTGACAAAGTGCCAGGTCTGTTTTATTGCCTTTCTGAATTCGGTGCGTGACGGGCCTGCTGCTATGTGTTTTTTTTTGGGCTATCTGAAACTCGTTTTTTGTTTGAGTTCACTGATGAGCAAATTTGACAAAACAAGGAGAAGCAGAGTGAGCGCAACCTGTGAGGAAGGAAGAGAAAGAGGAGAGAGGAGGATATGCAAAGGTGAAAGAAGAGGAAATTTAAATGGGTAGGCACCGCTTACAGCAAGTCTTTGTAGAAGGCCATCATACTCTCTGTTGAATAGGTCTAGATGTTTCCGCAGACTCTCCTCAGCAGCAGCCGTGCAATCTTCATCATCACTCCCCTTTGGACATGGAGGTTCGTTCTCCTTGCTGCCTGTACGAGGTCCTGCACGGTTCAGTTTAACATTACTCAGTTCGTATCCATTTGATTGTGCAGATCTTGAACTCATGACCTCTAAGAGGTCCTGTAAATTTTTGTATCCATCCAATTCCAGAGTTTGAACTCACGACCTGTCGAATCATCAACAGTTAACATGTTTGTATCATTCTGCCACACACAGACAGGACTGCATCGTTCAGTTCAATCGACATGGGCGCATGGTCAGGATGATGCCGCAAGAAACCAGTACCGCTTGATATCAAGTTGTGTTGGAACTTGGGCTCAGAGAGCAAAGCTTTTGCTATCTTATCATCTCTCCCCGACCTCCTCTCATCTCACCCTCTTTGTTTTGTTTTGTTTTGTTTTGTTGTTTTTCAAAAAAAAGACAGCTAGGCTACCAGCCGAGCCGCCCGGGTAACCTTGTTTGCCCGGGTAGCCCGGGCGTGCAAGGACCAAAGGACGTCCCAGCCAAAAAAAAAAAAAAAAAACTTCAAAAACTCTGGAAACAAACTATGTTATGCGGAAAAATAAACTGAATAACGTTTGCCTCGGTGTCACATCGAAATTCTCCACCAAATTCAAAATAAAAAATCAAATTAAAAAATAATTTTTAATTTAATTAAAATATATATATAATTTTTTTTGGCCCGGGCGGGCAAGTGCGAGGGACAAGCCCTCAAGGGGCCCTATCAGACATCACATGATCTGGGCTAAGGCCCCCAGCAAGCCGAGTGCCCGCCCTAAGTGAAGGCGGGCCTGAATATTCGTCAGAGGCAAAATTCGACATTTCCGTATGTGGGTATTCAGGCTCTCGCAGCACGCCAGTTGGTTTGGTAGACGCGTGAGCCTCACAAAGCTGCATCATACAGTTGGCCCAGGCTTTGACAGTTGCGCCTGGGCACATACACACAAAGCAGGGCCGATACATTGGGAAGCAGGCCATCGGCCTTTGCAAAAGCAGTACTGTCGACTCACCTGCCTGGGAGCCCTGCACAGATGCAGCAAACAGCCCAAGTCCGGAGACTCAGGCCGTGCCCAACTGAAAAGGGCCCAGGCCCTTAACTGTAGTCTTGGGCCTGGGCGCAGGGTCTGAAGCCCAACCGGAAGCTACTGGAAGCTTCCTGCCAGGCTACACGCAGCATCCAGGAGGCTGCCACTTCCATAAAAGAAGTGACGCAGCCCAGGCAAGCATTCTGGCCAGTGCGGGCAATGCGGAAGTGCTGCTGCGCTATCACTTGATGCTGTGCTGCTGCTAAGGGCGCTGACGGGGCGCGTAGTGGTGAAGTGGGGCGCTGCAGGGCAGCGCGGCGGAGGCGGCCATAGCCGGGCTGCTGGGCGCCAGGGGGTACAGCGGGTGATCTGGTGGTCTTCAGGGAAGGAGGCGCAGTGTGGGGTAATCAAGGTCTGATTGAGGGTGACGAGATACGTACCTGGTGCATGAAGTATGGAGTTGACAGTCATGTACAATTATGGTCTTCGAGAGTCGAAGTGAGCCTGTTGCGTGAACCAGCTGTAGGTAGGATAGTCGGGCAGAGTAGGTTGGGCGCTGGGCGCCAGACAGAGAAGAGCGACTTTGGATACTGTGTTGGTGTGGCCTATGGGCTTGAACATTTGCTCATTACTTCATTGTATTGCTCTATATGGATGGTTTCTCGGTGCGTTTTGAACTCTCTGCTTGGATACGACTACCTGGACATCTGTGTGATTTCGCGACTTGGTTTTCTGTATATCGTTCGCACTCATATTCCTTGCACAAGTGTTCCCAGGCCAGTCTGGTACCCAAGAAAGACTGTCTTTTTTTTGTTGGTTTTTTTTTTTTGTTTTGTTTTTTTTTGTTTTGTTTTAACAAAGACAGAACCTTACGATTTTGGCCCTTTTTCATTCTGGGGAGCATCAGTGCGGTTCCTATTCCACCGGCAAGTCAGAAGAGATTACAGTAGTTACACACGCTCCTCCCCATTACGGCCGAGAGGCCCGAGTGGACGACATCGATTACTTCCCGAGGGAAGGATATACCACCCCTCACCCCTGCCCAGGTTAGCTTGCATGACTCAACCTCTTGAAACTGGTTACTAGACTGACCTCTGCTACATCTGTTTGCTGTTTGAAACATACCTGTGAAGGCCTTGTCCAGCTTATTCTTCTCAGCTACTTGGCTGTCAGATTTGCATTAGGAACTGGATTTACTAGCTTGGACCATTAACTGTCGATCTTTCTAAAACCCTAAACCCTAGGGGTTGTAGAATTGAAATTACTCCGAATTTAAGACCAATGATGAAATCACTGAATCTCTTTCTACCTCTTCCTTTTTCTTTCTTTTTTTTTTTTTGGCCAGGGTAGCTTTACCGTTGAAGTTGGAACTGGAAAGCCAGGATGTTGCACTTACTGGGAAGTTCTGGATACCTAGAACCCTAAACCCTAGATTGCTCTACGGCAGTTTCCTGTTGCGTGGTGATTCTGGAGTGCGGCGTGGGGTGTCGGTTGGGGGGGGGGGGGAGGAGACAGCGCTTGCACCCTCGTTGCCCCGCTGCTCCCCGGTGCCCTGCCTGGCCCTCCGAACGGGGGGTCGGGCGGGCCNTGTGGGAAGAGGGGGGATATAAACCCGGGGGATGATTACAAGGTATAAGGGGGATGTTAGTAGTTGTGGGACCTCCTCTCATCTCACCCTCTTGTTATTCCACATAGTCCTCCTTTCGTATTTTTTCGAACATACACCCAGAGTTGTTCTTCTGTGCAGCTTGCTACCCCAAGAGAGACTCACAGTTTCAGATCTAGATACGTCCAGTACCCAGTCAGATAAGTCTACAGGTCCTACCTGTTCACAGTCCTAGCATGGACTTGCTTAGGATTCCCTGCTGACATAGCTCCTACGAATTAAGTGCATATGCCTAATGCTGCAGAAATGGTCGCAGGTTCAAATCCTGCTATACCCTCTGCAGCAGCGCTCCACACTCAGCTGGCATCCAGCACTAGCACTGCACTGGTCCTATTGGATAAACAGGAATCACGATGTAACTGCAGCTTGCGAGCCATGAACCTAGGGGCAGACCTTAAGAAGATACGCACAGCTGCACCTCTGCCAAAAACTAAAAGAGGAGGAGGAGGAGGACGACGGAGAAGAGAAGAAGAAGAAGAAGAAGAAGAAGAAGAAGAAGAAGAAGAAGAAGAAGAATGGCAAGAAGAAGAAGGAGAAGAAGAAGAAGAAGAAGAAGAAGAAGAAGAAGAAGAAGAAGAAGAAGAAGAAGAAGAAGAATGGGCCATCCATGGAGGAAAAGAGTTAATAGAAATAGCAGAAAGGCAGGGAGTGGTGATTGCTGACGAAATGAGGCCGAACTCCAGGTTCTTTTTTGCAATCCCAACAGTCCCGAACTCTAGCCTATAGCCCAGGACGGTAAAAAACGGCCTTCCATTCTACTTTGGAAGACCCTGAAGCCCAGGACCTTCCTTTGATCAGTTGAATGTTGTTGCAGCTCAACCAGGATCTCAGTGGTGAAACTCTTGAACTCACAGTACACGTACTTGGCTTGTGGCTGGATGGTACACGCCTATAATTGTTGATCTACTGGTCTTGAGCTCAAATCCTGTGGGATGCAACAAACATTGGGAGCTACCTGCTCAATAGAAACTGATAGCACAGTATTAACACCGTTTGAGGATGAATCGGAGCTGCATATTCCGTCCCAGTTGGAGAAAAGGTTCTCCTCTGGGCCAAGGCGGCCGCATGTCTGAACCATTATATCAACTGCCAGGAGAGAGCTGTGTTCACGGTCCTGCTGAGACTCTCAGGGAGTCGTTCGGCCCCAACCAGTGACTCAATGACAAATCGACTTGACAGACTGGGAAATTCACTTCACAAAAATGAACGAATGGACGAACAAACTGACACAGACAGCTATACAAGCAAGAAAACAGAGACAGCGAGGCATGCAGGTAGACCAACAGCTAGTAGGCGGACGTGCAGATCGGAAGACTTGATTTGCAGAGCACTCTCTGAGTTTTCATATCCGTGTTGGATACCAGCTCTTGTGTGTGCTTGGTGCGAAGTCAGATGCTGTCGTTTGAAGCTTGGGCTCATTGCACATGACTGAACGACAAATCAACGTCTGAAGCATCTCCCGACACTGCCTTGGAGAAAGAACCTCCCTTTAGGTCATCTACAACTCTTCCCACCTCTCATACTATTTCTGTCTATGATGGTTCATCCTGCTCTCGTGCAGGATGTGCAGAGGACAACACACCAACTACTTCTCTCTCCTGCGCTCTCGCCGCCATGCCTCATTTGCAGAGGAAGTCTCTGTCCAACCGGAACCCTCAAAGGGCCTTCTTGATGCAGCACAAATCACGAAAGTGAAGACGACGGTCCGCCATAGCCAAACACGAGTCTTCATGTTGGTTCCCTTCATCTTCCTCCTTCTCTTTATCCAGTGAAGTAACCTACTTGCCTCCATTGCCCAGTGTGGGCTTCATCTCTACTCATCGTA